ATATAAATAATGTATATCTTTCGTCTATATCATCATGTATGTGTATCCCCGCTATATTTGTCTGTATCCATGTAAATATGTATATAATATACATCTGTAGCAAAGATACTTTTAAACACGATTTCAATGATAAATTTTTATTTCAAACCAGTCTCAATCACCTCCAATCTTCCTGATCAAATTTTGCATATAGCATCATCCATGTATTTCCTATGAATTCTAATCACACACACTAAAAATTCTTTGCTCATAAATCTTTTGAATGTTGTATATCATTGGTGACTTTTTCTTGGCCACAAGTGATACTCCTTTATTTTAATTTATGTGACATAGTTTGATTCGGTACAAAGTTTAAAAAAGAAAGAAATACTTTTAAAACTTGTGATAAAGTTTTGCGGGGCTTCCTATTAGTTTGGCTAAAAAAAAATTCAAAATAAACAATAATTTCAAATTTAACAATGTGTCAGTCTTTTTGAAATGGAATAATAAGAAATGATAGCACATAAATAAATATAAAGGGAGTAAATGATATTCTACGGCTAAATATGCCGAAAATATTTCGTATTTTGGTACGTTTCAATAAATCTATCCGTGTTTTTGTTTTTTGAATAGGATTATATGAAAAGGAAATTATTTGAGTAGGATTATTTTATTGTTTTTTTAAAATTTACACTTTTCTTTCAATTTTAATTTATAGCTCAACCATTTTTTAATAATATTTATATTTAAAAAGAATCTTCATACTCATTAATATGGGGTATACATGCACATACCATAAAACTAGTTTTTTTTAATAATGGAGCTGTCTTTCTCAAGTCTTAAGATGAAGATAATGGAAACCTGATATTTTCAAACACTTGATATAACAAATAAGTAGAAGTTGAGCTAATCCTTAATGCACATGGGAGAAGTCTTAATTCGAGGGAATATTTGAATCTATTGAAGATGTATAACTAATAAGATAAATTATGTGCCCCATAATTTTAGTTTATTAAATATGGCGCACGCTTTGAGGCATTTCTTTATATGCATAGCTTTTAATGTATCGTTATGTGGAGGAGCTACATAGTCTATACAAAGATTCCTTATTTAATAATTAAATAATTGTATTTTTTTAAAAATTTTAACACAATGTTCAATTAAGATTTGATTCATTTGTTAGTGCGTCATAATGGTGATTTTTGGTCAACTTATAGAGTTATACTCACCTCGATTAATTTACTAATGACATGTTATTTCTCATAGGCATGTGTATTCAATGACTTTGTCCATCAAAATTTAGATAGATTGGCTTAATTAGTCGGCATTGCTGTATATATTTTGAACGTTGATTTTAAGCATACTACTCCAATTATTAGATTTCTAGGTCACCGCCTTGAGGGAATTCTCATCTTAGATGATTAGATCTCCATCAAGCTAATTTGAACTAATTAATTTCAAACATTCAGTTAGTCAAGCTATGCCGTTCTCAAGTGAGGTATGTTAAAGTAAAATAAAGTATAATGCAATAATAAATTTAACTCTCCCACCTTCCACCCCCCAAAAGAGACAAAAATCAAATCTGAAACAAAACAAAAAAGTCCAAATGTATGAAGATGTCGGGACAAGAGGAGTTGTGTTAAGCCCCTTTCACCTTTGATTTTAAGTTTGTAAGTTCGAGTCATCGTGAGAGCAAAATGGAGGAACTCCTAGGGAAGATAAAAAAATGGTGGGTATTGCACCTCTAAAAACACGAGATATTCGAAACTTTCACCAAAATTGCAAATATAATCCCTTTAATTTCAGTTTATATTTTATGGTGCCAATGTTTTTTAAAACTAAACAAAGGATTCCTATTATTTTGAGTTTAGAAAAACAATTATGATTCTAACTTAAGTTTTCTTAGAAAATAAGAAACTTGAAATCTAATAAAATTAAAAGAAATTGAATGACTAATGATTAATGAATATTGTATGTAACTATAAAACAAATCATACAAAATGAAGAGAAAAAAAAAGTATAGCCTATTAGCACATAATAAAAGGAGGCTACATAACAAGAAGATAGAGAAAATTATGATGTGACAAAATCTCTTGAAGTAATTAGAAGATCTTCAAAAAGGTAGTACTTGTAAAAAATAATGTAACAAAAAGAAGGAATTACTTGCTATTTAATAAATAGGAAAAAAATAATGTAACAAAAAGAAGGAATTACTTGCTATTTAATAAATAGGAAAAAAATAATGTAACAAAAAGACGGAATTACTTGCTATTTAATAAATAGGAAAAAAAACATTGGATCTACCACCAATATTATTAAACCCGTAGTGTGGTTCCTGACAATGAAATCACCCACCAAGAAAGTCCCCACATTTCAGTCACTAAGCAAATTGGACCCCACTAATTAACTTTTTAAATTAATTCATTTTACTAGACCCTACATGCTTCATTATATAATTCATCATTACTTAATTTTTTAAAAGCGGTTGCTTTCTTGTCTCCCGCACCCCACCTGCCCCCAACCCCCTATAGGGTGATGGGGCGGTATAGAAAATATAAAATTACAATAAACAAGAATATATCCACTTTGGATTATTTGAGATTAGACATCTTGATTATAGGGAGCCCTAGGTTGAAACCAACTAATTAATATTCCATTAGTTGTCCTATATGAATAAATAAAATATGGGGGAATGGGACAAAGGTTTATTAAGTGAAGATAACTGCAGGGACAGCTGTTCCATAAAGCAAGTAAATCAATCGTTTTATGCCTTATATTTTTTGGGGTCCCATTTTTGTTACACCTAATAAATTATGTATAACTTTTAAATTTTTTTTATGTAAAGTGAAATTTTTTTGATTTCTTTCTTTAACAAAAATAGATATGAAGGATTTGTAATTGTTATGATTTCTACCAAAGAAATTACACATGAAATGAATATCGAGTCCGAATTTCATAAGAAACGTGTGATATATATGAAGTAATAATTTGATGCGGATGTTCATAATAAAATCTCAAAATCTTTCGAAGAGTACTTTAGAGTTGATTATTTTTATACATAATAGACAAGGTTATTTTTTCACTTCAAAATAGATTTGAACAATTAGCAGCATATGAAACTATTTTTGATTTTCTATTTGGCGGTAAAAACTAAGATCACTAGATGTTAAAATTTGAAAAAATATTGCCTTAATCTTAAATGTTTTTAAAGCATAATAATCAATTCGTATTTAATGAATTAGATTTATTTTCTGATAAAAGTATTAAGAAAAATAGTACAATTAGAAGATAGCAGTTTAATTGATACGCTTAATAAAATAAAAAGATTTAATTCTTTTTCAATGCCTAAATTGCTTATGGAATAATGTTAATAACTCGTGTTATCGTTGCTTCAACGGAATGAAGTTTTCAAAATTAAAATTGATAAAACTTACCTAAGATCAACAATGTCACAAGAAAGGTTAAATGGATTAACTATATTATCAATTGAGAAATATTTATTAGGAGTTGTTGATTATAAGAATATTATTAACAAATTTGTATCTAAGAAAAGCTAAAAAAAAAAGCTTCAAATAAATAATAATTATTTTTAGAAAAAAATTAAAGTCCCTCATAAAGTTTGACTTTAGACCACAAAATTCGTTGGGCCGCCCTGGATAACTCTTATATCTAATGCATTAGTTTAATTGTTAACATCGCCGTATTATCTTTGGATTCTTATTGAAGGCAAAGGAATCAAATATGTTTTGTTAATGAAATCATCTGACCTGGAGGAAACTACTCAGATTATGCTTTAAATCAGGATAATTATTTAAGAATTAAATAATTAAGTTAACCATAGTAGTAGTATTGATTAGGATCTTATGCCATGTGGACACGAAGATCAATGTGTGAAGTTTAATTAGGGTTGAACTTATAAAATGACAAATGGTTGTGGGTTTAATTATCGTGATTTAAGCGATGATTACTGACTATTAATAGAATAATAGTATAAAACAAAGATTACGCAAGTGATGATGAAATCTACTATAATCACAAATCTCAATATCCTAGTGTTTTTGCGGGCATTTCAATTACTTCATGAAGTATTTGCTATTTTTTACTAGCACAATACTAAATAATTCTTTCCACCATATAGTAAGTAAATAAAAAGAAATCACATGGCGTGTTTGTTTGACAAAAGAAACAACTATTTTAATAGCATTATCAGGATTTTAAGTACCTCTTGATCGCTGTTTGAATCTTTCATACTTGTTATGTGTATCTCCCAAAAAAATAAAAAAATAAAATTGGAGCTCTAACCAAATGCTGATGGGCCAGTGGCCCAAGACATTGTTATATAAGTCAAGGGCAATATGGCCCACAATTTCAATCTTGTAGATAGAATATGGAAAATCATAAAAAGTTGGTTGAAAATTCATATAAGTTGAGCAGCACAAGAGTTGAGAATTGAGATACCTTTATCACAATTGACAACCGCATTAGCTTATCATATGTTAGGGCAAAAAGCAATTTGATTATTGAGATGAGGGAAGATACTCTCGAGTCTCCAATAATAAGGAGACTTGAAGATGTATGACAAACTTAACTAACATAGTGGTGAATTTTTTTTATTTTTTATTTTATCTTAAAAGAATATTTTTTAGAACCTCTTTCCGTGTTTGCGAGGAAATAAGAAAGTAACATACAACATACATGAGAAATTTGGACATAAGGTGGGTGTTCTGATGAATTTTTAATAGTATTAATTAGTGGCAATAATGTTACATGTTGATTTAAACGAGTTAAGATTGATATAATAGAACAAGATTTAAGATAATATAGGCATAGTATGAAACATGCTTGGCCAAGCCTATGTTACTTTCTTACGTCAAGAGATAGAGAGATCAAAGAATCATGAAACCAATAAACGAAGAATCAAAGAGCCTCAGGTGCCCCTTTCAGGCATGCATTGAGTTAACGAGGTACGAAACAATCTCGTCCATGGAAACACAATAACACGGAAGACATATTCTTCGTTATAATCAGCACAAAACATCTTTTCTCCATACCAAGCACTTGTTATAATCAAGATATATTCATTGGATGATCGATAAATTTTGAGTGAGGGAAGGAAATGAGGCTAGGGCAAAGCATTGTTAATTGCTATACTTAAAACACATTCTTGTTTATAAATGCAGAAAAAGGTATCTTCACTTTCTAAAGGTATGAGCATCTGCTCAATAATGAGTTTCCAACTTTCCCATCTCCAATTTTGTCAACAAATGGCACTTCATTGGCACCCCTAAAAATAATGTTTCTCTTCAAGTTACATAGCCAATGAACATGTGAGGCTACTCTTGTTTTATACAAAGTTTCTGAAATGGACTTGCTGGTGCCGAGTCTCCAAGTAGCCTTCCGTTGTGATCACCAAAGCTACCAATCGTTTCGTTCACTCTATTTCTGACCACAAGACAAACGACGAAGAAGCTGGAAAGAAGAGCAAATCTATGAATCCATTTTAATGAATGAAGAGGGTTATCTGGCTGCCCTCAGGATGATTTGTTCTTCAGACCAGTGAATTCCTTTTCTTGCTGTTTCTTCAAGTATCTCTGTGCAGTAGCATTTACAATCTTAACGAAAAAGTTCAGTAGCATGATCGTAACCACGCCATTCCAAACAGTAGCAAATGAGAAATCCCATTTGTTCACCTGACAAGATGAAAAGTTGAATCAGCAAAAAAGAATTATGAAATATCACAAACAAAAATCTTTAATCATGTAAAAGAGAGATGTATTTATTACCTTTATATTTGAAGTTACAGGTGTTTTGGTGGCCATATACTTGTCTTTCATGGAGTGGAGCTTGGCAATGATGTTCGGTAACATGGTTTCAAAACCAGGTATAAAACTAAGCATCCGAATCAACTCGGTTTCCACCCAATCAAGAAGTTGATTGTTGCAAACAGAAATTATAAACAGAGTCTGCACAAGCATAGTCAAAGAACACAGCTCGTTCATAAAGTGATCAGTCCAAAAAAGGTCGTCAAGAGCCAAATGACAAGATCTTTACATTAAGCCAAAACTAAACAGCATCTAAGATGTGGAGAATCATAAATGCAGAAAAGGAGAGTTGACTGACCTGTATGTGAGTTTTAATGAGAGCCTTTCCAATCAAAGTTGCAAAAAAGAACTCCCAAAATGGGATCCCAAATTGTCCACACATTATGCCAGCAAGATCAAATAGAGGATTTGGAACCTACAAAAGGCACTTCCGTTACAACAGTACATATTTTCAGTGATGGGAAGTTCAGTGATTTGCCGAGACATTAGCAGATTAGAAACATATTTATGTACTAGAAATCAAATCTATATTTGCGGTCAACAAAGAATCAACTTTATTTTCTGGGGGNTCATTGCGTCCACTCTACTACCCGAGAGGCTTGCTGCATTAAGTGATGGAAATACATTAGCAACAAGGACCCTGAAGATTAAAATCTTCAAATTATCATTTGCTTATAACAAGATCGGCAACATGCCGAAATTATTTTATTCCTGAAATTACAGGAGAATATTTCCATTAAACTTGAGATTGAATGGCCGCCTATGATACTAGGACCAATAGCTTCACAATCAGTTTGTGCTGGAGGTGTTAACAGATCTATTCGACACGGGTATGGGCATAAAGGCATAAGAGACAAACCTGCTCGTGAAATAAAATATGGGGGAAGCTCCCCAAGTGCGGTTCCAAGGCCCCACAAAATAGCCTCTAACTGCACTTGGGGCAATATGCTACTAAGTGGGACACTAGTGCCATGTGAAGATGAAAATACAGGGGGCCCAAACTCTGAACAATCTTTGCGAAGCCATAGAGGAGTTCTTTGGAATTGTATTGTATCATAGGGAGCCATTTTGAGGTCAACTCGCCCACACTTCATTGCTTTTATCGTAAATAAAGCGATATGAGGGCCCAGATAGAGGACAAAAGTGTGCAAACCAGACCCTGCAACACGGAACAAATAGAGGATCTATAAGTGTTTTTAATGGAAAAACTAGAAAGAAGCAAGTTAAATCCCAATACTATCAGCAAGTTCCTTATTATGGAGACTTGAGTAGATAAGTTGCCCTCCAATATAGAACATAAGACGCTAAAAAATCAAACAACGTACCAAGGCCAATAGAAGATGCAACACCAAGAGCCACCCACCATAGTCCAAACCTAAGATATCGAAGAACCTCCTCAACATGCTGCATCGCAACATAAATGTCCAATTAGCATTGGTAAGTCTTTGAGTTTCAAAACAACATAGAGAGAGGTACCATAAACAACCAAACAAAGGCTCTTCAAAACTAGTGAATGCCTATAGTAGTCTTCTATATCCATCCCATTCCTTTCACCATCGGATGTATCATGCAAGTAGAGGAAAATAGATATCTGACAATTTCTAACTCAACAGAACAATCCAAAATTGTCAAAGAGATCCAAATAAACAATTCACTTGTGATGTAACAATAGAAAATTAAGCTATAAGTTGACCACTTGTCAACTTCCGGCAACATGCAATACATTTTTTTTTCTTAGGCGCGTGCCGCGTGCATGTCTATAGATAACAGTGGTATTCGAACGAACTTGCGTGCACCTCGACTACTTCATCGAGTACATGCTACCTCCCACCAATATAATTATCAGATAACTCTGTCCACCAAGGCTTAAGCAGATGGAAATTGCCTTTGTTGGGATTTGAACCTTGGTCTCCCAAGGCCTTTCCCAGTTCATTGACCACAATCGTCATCCCCTTGGGTGCTAGGCATATCTTCTGGTGATGGTAAAAGTAACCATCCTTCTCCATTGTAAAAACAACTGAAATTGATGAAGCATACCTTTACATGAGGACCATCGGTTGTCACAAGCACTATCAAGGCAAGCACAGCAATGGTACTGAAAAGCATACACCATCGATGCGACAAAAGATATGCTATCGACTTCCTGAAATACTGCATCATCGCCATACTGAAAAGCTTGAGCGTTCTGAAAGGCTGTGTCAACAGATTCAAATTTTCTAAATCCTTTTGATGCTTCGCACGAAGATCTGCAACGCAATGGCAATAAACTCAGCCAAGTAACTTTAGGCAATACTTCCTTCTCTTCGACAGGAGCACCCCCCCCCCCCCCC